TACAACACACTACACGTCATCTTTAAGCACTGCTTTGGCAAAAGCGCCGTTAGCTGTACTATATAATCATGAGATTTTACACAAGACGGAATAACACACGAGATAAACAATTAAATTTTCACTTCATTTCCTCGTGATTTAAATTGTAACTCACTCGCAACAAAACAATATTATATATATATATAATATCATAGATTTTGGAAAGGCTGTCCTTTTTTTTTTGTCTCAACGACTACATTTGACGTGTCCCGAAAAAAAACACTTTTTTTAAAAATTATATAGCCAATATGAAATTATCTATTATATAAACATTCTTAGAATGAAAGCATAACATCAAAAATCTCAATTGTTACCTAGGGTTTAACCTACACTTTTTAATCCTGGTATCTATGATGAGTTTATTGTGCCGTCCTCTTGGAAGGTTCGATCTGACTCTCTTTGGCCTTTCAACTGATTTGATTCGAGCGCCACTGATGAGTCCGATGTAGACAAAACGCAAGTCTGGCATACCGAATTATAAGCCTGGTATCTTTGATGAGTTTTGGCTATGCGGGATGTATAAATACGCCGCTACGTCTGATCAAAATATGGACGTTTATTTCGTTGTCAGGTTTTCTTAATTTGTCACGATGCTGTAGAAGGTCACGATGCTATAGAAAGTCACGATGCTATAGAAGGTCACGATGGTATAGAAGGTCATGATGATATAGAAAGTCACGATGCTATAGAAGGTCACGATGATATAGAAGATCACGATGAAATAGAAGGTCCCGATGCTATACAAGATCACGATGATAAAAAAGGTCACGTAGCTTTCACACCGATTTTATTCCTGTTATCAATTACATGTTCTGAAAAATCTCAATGATATTAAGCATAGGACAAGCGCCCATCAAGCTGTATTGACAGTCAACTTTTGAAAACAAGAGAACAATAAGGTTTTTTTTGGTTTTTTCCCAAAAAGTTTTCAAAGTAGAAGCCAACGGCGGATTCAAGAGTGTGGAGCGTAGAGGGCATACACCCCTTTGATTGAAAAATATATAATTTTTAAGCATTAAATAGTCCATTAGAATTTCGCATCGCTCCGCTCGGCAGTATATATTCCGTTTTCTGGTATAACGTCCCCCTTTTTTCAAAGATCCTGAATCCGCCTCTGGAAGCCATGCAGTGACTATTATATTTATCAGCTACTGAAATTTAGACCAAGTCTGAATTTGCTAGCTTCTGACCTAGTCATAACATTTAAATTCCAACAACAATAAGTTTATCCTTGACATAATGTGAAATGTCATGGAAATGTTGTTGTTCTTGTGTGGTAAAAATTAGGAAAAATATTTACTTTGTGTTGATTGCATAATATTGTGTCGTAAAAGGGGTTTTGCATGTCTGCACCATATCCACTCTAATTATTCCCATGCCATTCAATCTAGACAGATTTTATCAGTCAGTCATTGTATACTGTTTTCCTTGTTGTAAAACATCAATCAAATACTTTATTGAAACAGTTAAAAGCAAATTAAATTACCAATATCATATTCAATAGATCTGTTCTGGTATATGCTTCTGTTAAGGCCGTGTCTATTTTTCAATTTGTTTTGTGTGACGTGAAATTTCTTAAAACTTCCAGCTAGCAATAATGGAAAGCCTGAAAGGATACACTTAGATAAATAGACACTTATAATATACTAAAATGTATACAGATTGATGCCAATTCTTAAAATCAAAATTTGCCTTGTTAAATTTTTTCAATTTAGCAATCTACACTAAAGATGATGTTAGTTTGAACCAAATAATATTCGAACATTCATGTGAATAATTTTCAAATGTCACCTTGATAATGGTTTTTTTTAAAAGATTTTCTGATATATATGTATTTGTTTTACTTCAAACCAAGCAAGCGGACGAAAAACGAAGAAAACACAAATTTGGCCTAAGTAGGTAGAAAGTTTACAGTTGATAAAGAATGAACATTTACTGGAGATGGCCTGTCGTGTTATTACATTGATTTTCAATAAAACAATACGAAGAACGACGGCCCAGTTTGAGGTATATCCAATTTCACAAATATCAGATCGATTGTTACAATAAGATTACCTTTTTCAATTAGAAATTTAATGGCAAACAGTATCCGATTTATTTTGTTAAAATCAGTATTTAAGCTTTTTAAAGTTGAAATAAATGATGTCTGTTCCATCCTGATAAATGATGAAATTTGCTGTTTCATGCCATGGTCATTGGATAAAGCATTCCTCTTTCACTATTGACTTTTGTTATGAAAACTAGCTGTCATGTTTTGTAATAATAAGAACATTAAAAGAAAATAAATTGGTACAAATCACTTTCTAGAACCCTACGTTTCCTGTTTACTAGTTGAGTTTCTGATAATTACGTTATAAAAATAAGTTTTTTCAATGAAAAATGTAAGAATCGTGGCAATAAATACATTACTCAAACAGAAACGACAGAATTCAATCTTCCATTGACTTTGGTCCTAAAAGTAGAACACCGAATAGTTATATAATATATTTTTCAATAAAAGCACATCAAGTGCAATTTCGAAAACGTTACTGGGTTATCTATTGAAGGTACAGACGCACCTGGTTGGAAAATGTTATACAACCAAGCAAAAAGCTCATACTGCCGTTTGACATCCTACTTATTTCTTTCCGTCTAATTTTATTCTTTCTTGTAAAAATACTGAGACAAATTAAACCAACTTTTGAAAGATAATGTTAAAAAGGTCTTCCATAAAAGTTACTTGTTTTGTTCTGTTCAGGCAACTGCATTTAAACTCGTTTATTGATTATGATTTATTAGTTTTCAAATTTAGACTCTATCTATGAAGCAATTCAGGTCAAATATGGTTTCAGCTATCTGAAATATGATCGGGAATCTTTTAACAAATATTCTCATGAGGTTTTGTAAATGCTTGGCCGAGAACCGTATTGAAATCACATCTTCATCTTCTTTAAAACTGCATATAAAATCTGATCTAGACTTGGCAGAAATTATGTAGGAATGATTCGTTTATCTATGAAATTGATGATCTCGTCTATCATTAGGTATGAGAAACTACCTGTATTTGCTTTTAAAATTTTCACGTATGTTTAAGGTTTTTTAAAAGAATAGATATTCATGGAAGGGTCATACATTTGTGGTTATATCGTGAAGATAGACATTATACGCCTTCTAATCTGCTATGGAATGAAGCCTTACCAGGGACTTTTACTTATCGGTATTAACATTGGCACTGACGGATGTCACTAGTGAAGCAGACCCTGGAGTATTAATACTAAGTTGTTAATAAATTCAATGGTGACAAGCCTTATAATGAAGATTAAAAAAAGATTCAGCAAACACAGAACGAATAAAAAAATTGAGCGGATGAATGGATGATTAATGTCCACGTAATAATATTTCAATCATATTAAAGACACGAACCATACCGTATATTGGTATGAAGATGAGTCCTACATTAACCTTGACCGACACACTGAATTAGATTTTCAACGACCTAGGTCGCATGGTAACATCATGAAGACATTATCCAAGCTGGAAACGGTCTTCTGATAGCCGATCAGTCTCCGCTCTTACACTCAAATATCTTGTGCTAAGCGTAAAAGCAGCAAATACAAATGTTCAATATTTTGATACCCCCCCCCCCCGCCCGAGCATTGATGAATTCCACCACCCGCACTAGACGTGCGTGCACGTTATCACGAGAAAAAATCAAAATCAGTAATATGATTAAAAAAACCAATATCGAGTGGTATTAAAGATTAGGAAAAGAAATTTTCTTATCTATTTTTAATTACTTGTATATAATTAAATATTGAAATCAATATAAGCCATCTTTATATCTAAAGGTCAAATATTCCCTTGGAATTGCTTCCTGCACGAATGATTCGTTTTGACATTTATTTGTTAATATGAAAAAGGGAACTTCAATAGCTGGCTTTGGAAATGTGTGACAATTCAAGAGCATATGTTCTTGATATAAAAAAAGAAGATGTTGTATGATTGCTAACGAGACAAATATCCACCAGAGACCAACCGAATATGATTGAAACAACTTTAGGTCATCGCACGGCCTTCAGTAATCATCAAAACTCAAATCGATAACCCGAATAATTCAGTCCCTGTTCGTTATCGATCTCTTTCTTGAATTTGTCGTACATTAAAAACTCTAATTTTGATTGGTGCCCTGTACGACAGGGGAACAATCAGCAGTCAGTTTAATTTTATCGAGATGGGTAAATCCAGACCAAAACCGAATGATTGATTGCGATTTTTCATTGACTATACATTCAGGCGTTTATGTAGCCATCGTAGAGCAGCAAAAATCCAAAAAGGGAAAACCAACGGCCTGATTTATACTATGACAATAACTAAAAACAAATAGGACATACAGCAACCAACGAAAACCACTGAATTACAGGCTCCTGACTTGGGACAGGTACCTTAATAATACAGCGGACTCAACATTCAGTCTAACCTACGGCAGCGGTTTAACAACACAGAATAAGAACAAACTTTAAAAATCAGTTGGAAAGGGCTTGATTCATCAGATGAGCAATAAGCCCCCCCCCCCCCCCCACCATCCCCCCCCCCCACCCCCACCCCAAAAAAAAAAGAAAACTAATAGAAAGACTAAGAGTACTTTCAATGACTTAAAAGTTTTTCTAAGCCAATTTCAACGAACAGTTGATAAATAATAAATAAATAATAACAACTTCCCGCCTAGTTGTATACCTAGCATGGACTAAAAGAGGGACGAAAGATACCAGAGGGACAGTCAAACTCATAGATCGAAAACAAACTGACAACGCCATGGCCAAAAATAAAAAGACAAACAGACAAATAATAGTACAGATGACACAACATAGAAAACTAAAGACTAAGCAACACGAACCCCAACAAAACTAAAATGGTTTGAAAAATTATAATATATATCTGTAAATGGCAATAAATGCTAAGTGACTGTATTTTCATTATTTTATTGTGCTTAATAATATAAGAAAATAGAAATATAACAATGGAATGGTGTGCAAAAAGGGGCATAAGATTCAAACTGGTAGAAAAATATTATATATACATTAACAGATTTTTTTACAAAGATCAACAATAAAAAGATATTTTATAATATAATGATAAGTCACAATAGTTATACAACTATGGAAATCTGCAGTACAACAAACTTCACATAATGATGTCACAATTGCAAAACAAAATGCAATAAATCACGAAAATTTATTTGATAAACGTAAATATTAAAAATCGTTCGGAATGAGCACTTGTGCTTGCATATAAACATTAAATGAAATGAAACAAAAATTTCATTTTTCAATGATTTGTTAGCATGGAAATTGATACGTATATTACCTAGTTGACTCCTGCATTTTTTCAATATTTCACGACATTGTAAATATCAATAATGGAATGTAAGGAAGTTGACATATTTGACAAAATAAATTATAAAATGATACTGAAGCTTATGTCTACTTCTTCACCAGAAACGCTCAAAGCCGAATATTTGAAATTAAGAATGTATAAGAACCGAAATAGATGAAGAGTTTCATGACAAAAAAGGACCTAAATATAATTGTCCGTTTGAATCGAACAATTTCGAACAACTTAAACAGTCCAATACGGATTTATCGTTCTTTTTCCTATTCAAATTTAGGGGTAAACTATTATAATACATACATTTTTTAGAGCATGTATAATGTTAGGAACAGCTTTAGTTTCGCTCCTTTTAAAAATTGGTCAGCGAGTCATTTCGTGTTTGTCAAATACAAATACATGAATCCGGGTATTAGGCGTTTTTACACGCAAAATTATTTCCACGATTTTGGCAGCATATTAGGCATTTCGCCTTGCATGTGAATAATTCTAAATCGATAAGTGAAAACAAAGGAGAAAATCGAGATAAAAAAGCAAAGAATTGTACGTCGGAATGCTCACTATTTTCATTCACAGTTTCTCTAATAATAAATCAGAACACACTACATTGTATCACCTAACATAAACATGAATGATACATTAAATTCATAAATGCTTTAAATAAATATTAAATTCATAAATGCTTCAAATAAATATTAAATTCATAAATGTTTTAAATAAGTTGTTATCTTTCGTACCATTGCCATCAATATACTGATTCAATCATAGAAAACACTGGTAAGAATTATATAAAAATAATGTATAATAAGGTCAAATTGTAGAGATCAAACATGTAAGTGTGCATGCAATGTCTAAATTTCGGAAAAAATACCAATGGAGACTTGTCATCTTAATCGACGCTTTGGTAGAAATTGAGAACCAATCAATGTGTTCTTCATCATCACAACTTTTCTATACTTGAATAACCATACCTAAAATATACCAATAAATCGAAATATAATAAACATGATACAGAAAAGTACGTAATATGTATAGATAAAAAAGTTGGAAGAATTAATCCAGTTAGAACAGAATGAAGCATAACATAGTGTAGTTAATAGTAAGTTAAGTCTGGTTAATGCTTAGGATAGTTCGGTTAATACTTAGAGCATATTATGATTAATACTTAGCATAGTGTGGTTAATAGTTAATACAGTCTGGTTAATACTTAGGATAGTTTGGTTAATACTTAGCAGAGTATGGTTAATACTTAGCATAGTCTGGTTAATACTTAGGATAGTTTGGTTAATACTTAGTAGAGGATGGTTAATAATTAGCATAGTCTGGTTAATACTTATGATAGTTCGGTTAAACTTAGAGCATATTATGATTAATACTTAGCATAGTGTGGTTAATAGTTATTACAATCTGGTTAATACTTAGGATAGTTTGGTTAATACTTAGCAGAGTATGGTTAATAATTAGCATAGTCTGGTTAATACTTAGGATAGTTTGGTTAATACTTAGAGCATATTATGATTAATACTTAGCATAGTGTGGTTAATAGTTAGTACAATCTGGTTAATACTTAAGATAGTTTGGTTAATACTTAGCATAGTATGGTTAATACTTAGCATAGTTTGGTTAATACTTAGGATAGCCTGGTTAATACTTAGCATATTATGATTAATACTTAGCATAGTGCGGTTAATAGTTAGTATAGTCTGGTTAATACTTAACATATTATGATTAATACTTAGCATAGTGTGTTAATAGTTAGCATAGAGTGGTTAATATCTTTCATATTAAGGTAAATAGTTAGCATAGTATAGGTTAATTTTTACCATTGTATGAATGATAATTTGCATACTTCGCTTAATAGTAAGCATAGTGTGGTTGATACTTAGCCCAGTATGGTAAATACTAAGAATTAAATGGTTTCTAGTAAGAATAGTATGCTTGATACTAAGTATAATGTGGTTAATACAAAGCGTGGTATGGTTAATAGTTAGCATAATGTGACCAAATTCTTACCTAATTCCATTCTGTTTATAGTTTTCATTGCCATCTTCCAAGAATAGGTTACATGTAGTAACAGTGATAATTTACTTCTTCGCTAAAACTATAATCTTCTAATAAGTCTAATCAAAATTATATCAAAAAAAATTCTGGATCTGCAAATTTTACAGGAAAAACATATGTAAGTTCAACATTTTCATTCATCTAAGCCTTGGATATATTCTCCAGAACAAACTGGTAGAGTTCCGATTCCAGAAATCTAGGGTAGGAGTCTTTGGCCATCAAAGCTTGGATTTTGTACTGTGCTACATCAAAGGTATCTCTTGAAGGATTTTCCAATGCTAAAACTGTTTCCATTCTTGTGTCGGAATCCAAGTTGACCTACAGAATAAAAACGACATCTTAAGATTTTTGAGCAAGTAATTTGTATTATCCTTTTTTATATTTTGGCAACAAAATGACTAAAAGAAGAAATGTTATCTTAAACACTGTGTTGTGTAATTCGAATCTATTTTAGCAAAATGTTGAACTTCTTTTGAAGAAAATTCGGCTCGCCAAAATTGGAAGATAACTAATAAAAAGGGGGAACAGACATATAACGATATGTTATAAAATTATGAAAAGAAAAGTAGGGGTTAGTGGGCAAATGTTTTAATGGCACTACATGGATAAAACAAGAGGATTCCGAAAATCTGACAAAAAGTGAAAAACCAGAGGAACGAACATCTAATTTTGGGACGTACGGACGGACAAGGGTAACACTTAATGCCCCCTCCGCTGCGGCGGTAGCATTATTACTGTATACGTCATATACATAAATGTTAGGATTTGTGCTTTGCCATTGTTTGAACTTTGTGAATATTCATTAATTGAACTACGTGATATTCATTAATTGAACTACGTGATATTCATTATTTTAAGTCGAAAATATTTATTACTAAGAAAAGTTGTTAAAATAACTTCATACTAAAAAGAATTTTTGGTAAAACTACAAAAAAATTGTTGTATGTGTTTATATGGATCAGAATGAATATAACAGTTACAATAATAAAAAGCTTGGAAATTTATTTAATATATGTTATATTTACCTCTTTTGGTGCTTTTGAAACCACAAAATCATTGTAGATCTGTTCTGCCATTACCGCCATACTAGATTCATTACACGACCGGAATTCTTCACAAGCAATCCAGAATTCCAAATTCTCTTCACTAAACTCTGATCTCAGATATCCAAGGAAAAGTTCTAACCCATCTGAAAAATAGAAAATTTATCTTACGAGAACTTCAAGAAAATAAAGTCATCTTATGAATGTCTCCTTATATTCATGTAACAATGGTTTCTGTTTAGTCGTTTTATTCTATGAAAAAGAAAGGGGAAATATACTACCAAAGGGATATTCAAGCTCATAAGTCGAAAAGAAACTGACAATGCCATGGCAAAAAATAAAATAACGATCTAAAGACAAACAACAGTATACAAAACACAATTGAGAAAACTACAAACTGAGCAACACGAATCCTATCAAAACCAGGAGTGATTTCAGTTGCTCTCGAATGGTAAGCATATCCTGCGGTAATCGTGTCTAATATTAATTCTCATTTACTTGTGTATATAAATATTTTTGAACTATTTGAAAACAATTTCTATGGCATTTTCCATAAACAGAGTTATAAACAACAATAAGATAAACAGATTACATCAAAATATAATACACAAACACATATAGAACAGTCATATACAAGGCTCACGGGGAGGGAGGGGTCTCTTCCTATATGAAGGTATATACATATGTGCCGCTGGAATGGGTCCCTTTTTTGAAACGTCAAATATATCAATGGGGTGCAATTTTACCGAGGAAATATATCAATAGGTAGTAATTGACCAGTGTTTTTAATATATAATAAAATTGTATATGCATATAGGTACTATTTGAGCTGATAAATATATGAATGGGTTATGATTTCGCTGTGAAATATATGTATAGGTAGGGATTTCACAATTATTCAATATATGAATGGGGATGTTTTTTAAATCCCAGGTGCACAACTGTACCCAAAATCCCATGTTGTGGCACCCCCCCCCCCCCCCCCCCCCCCCCCGTGACAGGGCTGTCGTACAAGTGAGAGGTTTAGCGCTATAAAACCAGGTTCAATCCACCATTTTCTACATTTGAAAATGCCTGTACCAAGTCAGGAATATGACAGTTTTTGTCCATTCGTTTGATGTGTTTTGTCATTTGATTTTGCCATGTGATTAGGGACTTTCCGATTGAATTTTCCTCAGAGTTCAGTATTTTTGCGATTTTACTTTATACAAGGAAATATAAACGTGTGTCTTACTTTTATCATGAAGGAGATCCTCGACTGATCTACTCCACTGTAATGCTTGATCATACGTTGTTACACTAAAAAAGGAAAAAGAGTTTTCTTGATCCACGACTGTGTCTGTGTTTTGTCTTCTCAGAAACTGAAATCTTTTCTTCATATTCTTTGCCCTGAAATGTATTTAAAAGAAATGTAGCCCTACATTTGAAAAAAAAATATATAAAAACTTCATTGTAATTGCCAGAACTAAGAATGTCTTTCAGCATTTTCTGTACTTGGTAATATCATTTTGTATGAAGACCTACGATCAACATAATGGAATGGATAAAAATTATTAAATTTTTAAATATTTTACATAATATATGGTATAGGAACCAATGCATGCAAAATTTATACAAAATATACTTTTATTTGGGTTCGTGTACTTTATGTCTATTTTCTGTTTGTGGACCTATTTGTCGTGTCGTATTCATTCTTTCGGCCATGTGTACTAAATCTCTATTTTTCTGTTTGTGGACCTATTTGTCGTGTCGTATTTATTCTTTCGGCCATCCATATCTAGCCTGTTAGGGATTATGATGTGATTGCACCTATGGTAAGTTTTTACCGTAATCATATACGAAGTATATCATTAATGGCAGATACAAATCCTTAATTTGAGAACACACGATGAATTAACAACTTCGAAATGGAACTAATAATGACATTCTATCCCAGACGAGAAACAGTCACGGAAAGGTTAGCATAGATCTAAAATATCAAAGTTTAATGCCTCTGTGCGACCGCTCATTGATTTAAAAATTGTAATTTGATAAAGTGATGTGAATGAGGCTATTATCGCTAATTGGAAAAAAATAGATATTGCAATCCATTCACAGTAATTAGACTACATGGACAATGTTCTCAAACAGTTCACATATTTTTGTCATCAATGAATACAGATAAATATTGATCCACCGTTTGAAATAGAACGTTTAAAACCTTGATATAATTGCATTTTCCAAAATAAATAAATTAGATGGGAATCTTGTTAAACTTTATAAACAAAAACGATAAAAGCCAGGCCCCAAGAACGGATAAATATCGTATCTTACAGGGAAAAGTTACCAACCGGTTTTAAAAACCCGAAACATCATGTCACAAGACTATTTATAATCTCTCTTCGCACAAGGGCTTTTTCTTGTATCGTACAACCGAGATCAGAAAACGGTGATACCAAAAATATATCTATAACCCCGAACCCTTAAAAAACCTGGGAGCATCAAAACTACATAGAACTAAAACAACTGACAAACTTTGTCTGGTGTAATCCATTTCTAATTCCCCCTGGCTGACTGTTACATACTCTAGATGTCTATCAGTCAAACTGTGGCGCCATTCAGAAATAATGCCGTATTTTATAGCGTTTCATGCTAAAATTTCTGTCAATGTGATTATCCATATCTTTTCGAGTTCCTGACTGTGTCACCTTCTTCTGGACTTTTGTTTGTAATCAGATGACGTTGACGGTGATGCATGCTATCCGGATAGCTACCCTTCCCACGGCACCCCAGGTATGACTTCATTTGGAGTTATTGTGATTCTAACTTTTTCTAGATTTTTTAGATGAGAAAAAAAAACCTTCGAAAAACACTTACAAGTTTTTGGATTTCGATTTTGTAGAAAAGTTGTTGTTGAGTAGTTCTTCTTTCTCTGCTAATGCTGACTCAGCCGAAAAAGTCTTATGGAATCGTTTTGTTTTGTCTTCCTGCTCACCAAAAAGTCTTTGATACAGGAGTAGGTCCATAGCACGACTTTCCATCTACAAAAGAAAATGATAAATATAAGTTAATACTTTACAGAATATTTGTACGACAGTCGTAAGACACATAAGGGTGAAGGAATGGTGTATACGCGGCATAAAACACTCTTTCATGTGTTAGAGGCATGGTATTGATAGGAAATGTCGCTGTTTATCTTATTTTTCTCTTATTTTTCATTGTTTGATACAACTTATTATGTATGTATAAATATTAAGTTGAAAACATAAGATTGTAAATATATATATATATATATATATCATGCTTATTGATTTTATGGCATTATTTGAATATTTCATTTTGATTGATATATCTATTACATGTATACATTTACAGCGTGTATGAAAAATTAACACTGGATATAGACCATTGTGTATTTATTCAGCAGTTAGTCTATTTCCCACTCGAGTACCTATACTTCTGAAACCTTCGCGTGGCAGGTACAACAGATTTTAAAACATTTTTTTTTACTTAGAAAATACCGCTTTCTTCAATATTTGTGGCGCTTTCAGCTCAAATTCAAATTTCAAGTTTAGCTGCCATTGAAGGAAAATTTTAATAATTTTGAGAGTCACGATAAACGATTTAAAAAATACCTACAGTGTCCTTAGATTTGCTGCCTTTCGAATCAAGAAATAATGCATGTGATGGGATTTCATTTTCACAGCATGCGCTCTGACTCCGCCGTAATGGTCGAGTGATTATCCGCTTGAGTCTCTGTCTTTTAGACTCCTTATCTTTTTTATTCATGTTGACAGCTTTCACTTCAGACTGTTGTTCCGGATCCACAGAGTCATCAATCTTCTTCAGAAATGGCGGTCTCGCTTCCGGTTGTTGTTCTAGGTCAGATGCGTCTAATGACGAATCACAGTTGAATGATACTTGTGTACTTTTCAAACCTGATGATGATTTAGACGATGTACTGTCAAAAGACATGTCTTTGACATCACGTGTGTCTTTATCAAATGATAGCTCTACAGATTCGTCGATGTCACATGACCCAATCTTTCCTTGACATTTTTTTCTTTCCAAAATTCTTTTCCTCCAATTTTTCTTCGCTGACTTTTTGTCCTTTGGAGATTCTGGTGCGAGAGAACATTTATATTTTATATCTGTCGATAGTTCAGTGGGAGATCTCGTTAATTCTCGATCCGACGGGTTGGATAGAATGTCTAATGAATGAGATTTACCAGTTACATTAAGAGTAGGATTGGTAAGCTGACAGACTAATTGATCCAAATCTTGTGTGCATTTTCCTTCTAATGGATTTCTTGATTCATCAAAAACACCCTGTACGATGATAAATAATTAATTTATTAAAGATGTTACTTAAAATGCAACCATTTCATACAAATATACAATCTCGTAGTCAATTTTATTCTTACTTATATTTTTTTTAGGTATTTGTATGAAATAGGTGGTTCCAAATCAAATAAACTATCTGTATACCGGTATTTGAAGCTGTCTTCAGACAGAACCAATCACCTTTTACCAATCAATGCTTACCCTACCATAGAACCTTACAATCAGTTTAGATAAATGGAAAAGGAGATATGGGGAATACGATAAGGTAAATGAGATAGCAACCAACCCAAAGGAAATCAAACGTTTTTTACTCCAGAGAAGTATAAAAACTCAATAGTTCGAAATGACTGGTAAACGAGAAAACATGATGAAACAAATACAACAAAATATTTGTTTGTAAAGGGACTTTCTATTGAAAAACACCGGTTTAAAAAATGTTTTACAGCTGCGCTCTATTTCTGTTGGTATAATTTTATCAATGCACCTTAGAAATAACCTAAAAATTATAAAAAAAAAAGCAATCACAAGCATGTTACATTTTATGGAAAAATACAAACATTAAAATTCTTTTTTGTTTATATTCATATAAAACACAAACTTATCCGTCGTCAATGCACTGCATAAATTTCGCTCTATTTCAAGGGATCTTTGTCTCATCTACATCGACCCAATATTTAGTCTTCTCGAATTCATTAACTTTATAATAGGACATAAATGTTAATAAAAATGGTGCTTTAGAATATTCTAAAGGAAAGATCAATTGCTGGAATATTTAATGGAATTGGTTGATAAAACGTTTTTATCAGCTTTAATTTCAAATACTAAAGGTATTCATATAATGCTTACACAGGTAAAGTAATTGAACAGCAATTATTAAATGTACTATTGTTGCTAACAACGAACACAACATAATTGGAATGTTTCAGATTTTAAACGAGTACAAAAAAAAACGTCAGAAAGTCATTAAAGATATTATGTAGTTGTTTAATACTCTTTAATTAAATGGTAAAGCAGCTTCTCTCAATCATATGCAATTGTATAATTTTTCAACCCGTACTTTAACAAATTTAATCAATGTGTGTTCGAAGGGTTCTCATTAATAGCGATTTGTGTATCCATCAACAGTATAACATAGAATTAAAGGTGGCACGGTAGTATATCCTGGCCCATAGGGATAATGGTAGCCTTTTTAGAATTTTCACCACTGTCTAACACTGCCCAAAATTCTACATACATAGTTAACTGAAGTACTTTCATTATAATATTCAGAAATGAATTTGACTATGTATCATGACCGTTACCTTTTTTGCTATCTTTAAAAACCTAAGGCCACTAGTGCTTTTAGGTCTTTTATCATGCAGTGAATACAAAATTTCAAAAAATTCTCAAAAATTCATTTTCACCTGTATGTTAAATTATTTCATATTTTTCTACACCTGATTCATCCCTCAGTTAGGAAAGTATGTTCAGTTGATACTGTATTTTTTGTCCAATCACATTGTTCAGATACATTGACTTAAGTATGGTACACAAAAGCGCAACCTAAATTCCGGAATGCAAATACTACCGTGCCACCTTAAGAGAAGAAACAAGCTGCGATATAAAGAGGGAATCGACACCAGAATCCGGATGACTTCTACACAAGGGAAATTAGGAGGCGGATACGATCGATGACCGCAATGTATTCAATGTACAGCTTTTTATGAAAAAAATGTAAACATACTTAAATCAATTTCATTTGAATAATCTTTTAATATATAATGTTTTTAACTAGTGAATTTCCTTTTGAAGTTGCTTTTTCATTTAAAAAAAAGAAGAGAAAAAAAGGTAATAGCTTTGTATTCACGCTTTAAAAGTTAAAGAAAATCTCATGGCGGATGTTTTAAGACATCAAAAGCAAAATAAATGTAGAAAAGCAATAATTAGTCTTAATCCCTTGGTAACCATGTAAATATTTTTTGGTTTGCTTGGAAATTAATATGGCTTACAATAATGGCTTTTCGATTTTTTATCTTTTAATCTACTAAATGTGTGCAACAAAAAAATTAAAAGCACTAGAAAGTAGAATTGTGTTGCGTGTATACAATTAATTCAAATTTGAGCCTTTGTCATTTCAACCAACAGAGCTAACAACCAATTAATAATACCATATATGGTAATGTAATATTAAGAAATGCAAAGAAACGGTACTCATCACAATAGAATAGCCATTATTATAAAATGGCTTCACATTATTTTACAATATTAAATGTAAAATGATAACAAAAGAGTTATAGGTTTGCACTATCTGACTTTTTTTTTATGTCTGAATATTCCTATATTTAGATAAACTTTGATTTACATGTTTTGATCATCACATTATTTACTCATTATTCTATCTGAACACCGTCTGGAGTAATGTGAATAAATTAGCCAAACATGTCAATGACTAATAAAAAAACATGCGCTGAAGATGAAATTTAAATTACAATTTCATCCTGCAGTGAACAACAATGAATTTCAGCGCCATGGGAATAGTGGTGATAATTGTGGTATAAACGGTATCATGAATGAAACTCTGTCATGCTTACAATCTCTTCAATGAAGTTTACATATCGAGGGAGTTCGTTTGGTTTAAGACTTAACTTTCTTTCTAGTGTAAAGTACTTTATTATGTTGATTGACATGCAAAGGTATTCAAGCAAAAATATTTTGCTAATTCTGATAATATCAAAGTTGATTATGTAGCTGTATTGTTTTTCACAAAATAAGGGTACACAGAGTCTGAACTTCCTTAAAGGGTTTTTATAAACAGGAAACTAACTGAAGAAAAGTTAAGAAGAAAAGTAATAGATAACTATTGCTTCTGTTTGTGTAAGCTTTAATGACTGGAATTCACTTTCAGTTCATCGTGCACATTTCATCTTGGAACAACTTGAATACGATCCATAGATATTTTGCTTTTTTCATTATGTGCATGCTCATCTAAGTTATCATTGTTTTTCAATGTATGTCTTAGTTACAAGGACATTACTTTTCTCTGTTTGAAATAAAAACCTGCTGTAACATCAGTTTAGCAGTATCATAAGAAATAAATAAGTTGTGAGATAGGAACACATTTAGCTAGTCTGAATGCACGCAGTAGCTTGGTTGAATATAGATCAAGCTATACATATAAACATTGCTGTCGTACGCTAATTAATATTGCGCTTATTCTTTATTCACTTGTAGGATTTTGTAGCCAAATCTTGGTTTCTGTTTGAATCACCACAATCCGTAAAATTTTAAGTTTAATATTGATAGAAAAGAAAAGATACGGGATATCTATTCATGACACAAATCAGTATGTGCAAAGCAAAAACTAAAAATGCCCCTTTATACTTAAGGTAGACGCGCCATGTATTTTCATTTGTTTGTTCCAAATTCCACCCGTGTTTACCATTTGTTTATCCTGCAATCAGCCAACTATTGTACAAATAACAGGTACATAAATACATTTTTGCTTTATTTGTACTTGTACAAATAAAGTCTCCTGTTACCCCTCTTCCATGTTGAGCAAGCGGTAATGTGGATATTTCTTTTTGCGTACCAGTTCACTTTGAGGTCCTCTTCGCGGTCCGCGTTTAAACTATGTCGAAAAATTAGAGACAATGATTTAGATTTTAACAACTGTGTTGGGTGTAAATATCAGGATAAAAACAATATATGTACATTGTCGGAAAATATGAAATTTATTTGTACTCGCTGCGAAACAGGAGAAAAGCTCGGCGAGCCTCGATTTTCGTCCTGTTTCTAAAGCTCATACAAATAAATTTTATATTTTCCGACAATGTACATATATTGTATATTTATACTGCTAATGCAAACATAACAGGATTCTTGCCATGTCGAAACAACTAGTCGCATTACGTCTGGAGTTCACGTTTTCACTTCAGTGTTTGTCTCTCTGTACTTGGACTAATCAAGGCATCGGTAACCTATCTGTTTTGTTCTATGCATATTTCTAAAGAATGACTATGTATAGATAAACAAACTTCTTAATACCACAACTTTCATTAACAAAATTGCAAGTTCACCATCAATAATGTGGTCAATTCGATTTCATTGCGAACGTGATAATCGTAATTGTAATTGCAATATTTAAATCTTGTTGTAAAGTGATAATTGTATATATATGCTCTACTTTTATGCTATAATTGCACTATTTTAATTTTGATATTAAGGGATATTTTTGAACATATTGTCTCATAATGATCACGAAGTCATGTATTTTAGTGTCAATTATCAAGCTGTAAAAATATAATAAGAGGAGCCCTTGAACCGACCACGTACACATGTGATAATTGATAAATTAGATATTGTAGAAATCGGATCACTTGAAAAAAATGAAAAAGTTTTTGCATTCCTAAATTTTCTAAAGATAAAAATATGAAATACGGGATTGTTTAAACAGCTTCTTTAGTTTAACGAAAATGACCCTTATAAAAACAGGACTTAGTGTTTTAGTAATCGTAGTAACTTCTTTTTCGTTCGTGCAAGACTTATAAAACTGGTGATAGTGTTTTTTTTTGTTTTTTTTTTTTTTCTAACGCGGATTTGTTTGAATAAAAGTGTTCATTTAAACCTATAAATAGAGAAGATGTCATCTATAGGCACAATTTTAACACATGCAAACTGTTTTTTTTTTATTCGGTGCATCACAATTTTCGTTAGTAGAAAGATTAATTCGGTAAGTATATAAAAAAAAGCTTTCTACATGCTCTGCAAAATATGTACACCAATCAAGAAGACGTCTATTTAAAAGGGCAACAGTAGGACAGTTTCCTCTTTACTGAAATTTCATCCCATTTAAAAGTTAATTAGATTTTATGCCGATACTTCAAACTAATATTGAAATATCATTAGCACTGCACATATATAGTAATTATTTATCATTTGAATATCAGAAGGAGAAGAGAATCAATTTAAACCAAAATCAAAACCTAGAACAAATGAGTTTTAATTTTAAAGACGACCATTTATTTTTCTTAATGGTACCTTATGTTTGAAAAAAAGACCCCCCTAAAAAAACAAAACAAACAACACATATACTACAACGAAACAAGAAACTTGCTGATCTCTTTTCAACGAAGTTTAAACAAATCCCGTTCTTTGTTTAAATAGTTTATTTTTGTTGGAAAATCTGTTTCCAAAATTTTCGTATGACAAAATGTCTTGAACTCATGAACGCTTTATTTTATTTTTCCTTATTTTCAGGTAAGATATATTTGGAGTAACTGGTTTATTCTTTACAATGATTATTTTCAATCAAATTAAACCATCAATTTAAGAGTGCAAATTGTTTTATATATCTCACTTTGTGCATTTTTAAAATTAGATTTATGTACAGTATTTAAAAAAATGAAAATTAAATAATCTTTTTATTTACTTACCCTCATAATTCTGAAACTGTACTAATATAGTAGAGATCCGTTTAATAAAAGCAACCTCCGTGTTACTTGTCTGAAAATCTATATAACAGTGTTCTCTTTAGAATCAATTGCAAGCAGATTTGTAAACCTGATCGAACAATTCCTAATTAATATATTTTTCTCTGTGTACATCATTCGTTGTTTCATCCAATCACAATTCAAGGAAACAGTAACCTCTGGAGATATATTCAGTGAGAATGTATGTAAGGATTCAGTGTGATATTTTCCTTAGGTGAATTTAAAACTCCCAGTAGAAAAAAAAAATGCATCAAAATCTATTCACATGTCTTGTTCTATTTCTTTATTTGTCTATTTCAATATCGGAAAACAAGATAAACAGAAAATGTGATTTATATTTTTTTGGTCGAAAATTAAGCCATTGATTCAAAAGGATATGTCATTTATTTCGTATTTTGAATGATCTTATGTTAAGTTTAAACTTGAGTCTTTTGTAGACAAAACATTCGTCGGGGGTAAATAAAAACTTAAGCCTGGTATCTATGATGAGTTTACTTGAAACAAAAAAAAATGTCTTTCTGAAAAACGTCCTCACTTGAAAAAAGACCTGTTAACAGTTCAGATGCATTTAAGTTCATCCTTGGGTTTTTAGTTTGTTGTTTTCTATGTGATATTCTTGGTCCATAACAATTCTTTACTTTTTGTGTTATCTTTGATTTGCCCTGGTAGTATTTCCTAGCTTAGTACACTCTGTTCCTAACAACACCATTCCAGAGAATATAAGAAAGCAAAATGACAAAAATACCGAGCTCCAACGAAAATTCAAAATAGAAAGTCCTTTATCAAATGGCGGCAAAATGAAAAGCTGAAACACATCAAACGAATGGAAAACAACTGTCATATACCTGACTTGGTACAGGCATTTCCATATGTAGAAAATGGTGGATTAAACCTGGTTTAATAGCTAGCTAATCCTCTCACTTGTATGACAGTCGTATAGAATTTCATTATTTTGACAACAATGTGTGACCAAAGCAAACAGACATAACAGGTAAAAATGTCAAAAATTTAGTAGTGTTAATGTTTACCAATTTCTTTCGTGGGATGTTTTGCGGACCAAAAATATTTCTATACATATTATTGTTTTCTTTTATGGCTATGGATTTTATTTTTCTTTGATATCAGGTTACTCGGGTATTTCTTACTTTTATGCAGTCTTTTTTATATATATATAGACTTTGCCCAGTCATAACCTTAACAACAAGTTAACTTGGTTATTTGACATTTTGACTGGTAAAGGTTTACTTATGACTAGTTCTTTGACAGCTCCGACTGATTATGAGACCAACGTCAAGTTAATTTGAAAAAGACTTTGTCATAGAAATGTCATAATGATGACTTCTAAAAAAGTTAACTTATAACCTGTCTGCTGCTGAAGAACCTGGGACTAGTGAGCGTCGTTAAAACTTGTTATACACAAAAGTTAACTTGGATCAACCTCAACAGTTTCAATAATAGATGCCACTAATTTGAAAGACACACGATGAATAACACGAAAATAAAACACAAATAACAAACATACCACTTTTACCGTTATCGTTTATATTTCAACAAATATTAAATTCTGTTACCTCTTTTGCTTTATTTATGCAAAATCGCTAATTTATTGTTTTCTGAATGATACAGCGAGAATTATTGAAACAAATTATTTGACATATAATAGAATATTATTGATTTCAAAATACAGGTCAGGTTTGATTATTTTAGGTCAACTTCAGTTTTTGCTTTTTGAGGCGAAAGATACCGAAGGGACATTCAAATTCGAAAATAAACTGACAACGCCATGGCTAAAAAAGAAAAAAGTCCAACAGACAAAAAAACATTTAATAGGAAAGGTGTGTTCAAACATTTTTGTTATATTGTTTTCGGATTACACAAATTGAGATAACCGCTGAATAAGAGCAATTTTAATGTTATTGACTAAAAACTGGTCCAGATCAATTAACGCCGACTTCGCTTCTAGGGTCGAAGAGTTATGATCTTTTTTTTTCAAAATCATTAAATATTAAGGTACAATGATTTGAACTACAAAAACATGATATGGCGGACAACACTGACCTCAAGATCAAATTCTGCTAGTTATTACGTACATAGTATCTATATTCCTTTTAATGACCATTGTCATTATATATTCACCTTTCATAGAATTGACTTATTATTTGAATGTTGTTATTAGTAATGAGAATTGATTAATCTTTTTTGTCAATACATGTTAGTAACCTTAGCTTTTATTTATAAACTCGAACTCGTATCACTAGATTATAGTAATTTAAAAATATCACATTGATTTACGGACAGAAATATGGCCATTAATTAAACACCTGGATAAACGCAGGTTAAAAGGACAGTTTTCTATGTAAGGAAATGCACGTACCAAGTCATATGACAGTTGTTTTTCACTCTTTTGATGTAATGAAATTGAGAATGTGTTTGAGCTTTTGATTTTGCCATTTGATAAGGGATTTTCCGTTTTAATTTTTGTTTGGAGCTCGGTATTTTTGTTATTTTACTTTATGTGTACCTTTCAGAATTGTTGGTCCTCAATGCTTGTCAACTTCGTACTTTATTTCGCTTTAAATTTTGTGATTCGATTGTTACTGATGAGACTTTTGTAGACGAACCGCGCGTCTTGCGTACAAAATCATAAGCTTGGTTTCATTGATGAGTTTCTATTTACCTGGTTTGCTCATAGGTAAACTCAGAGAGATGTTTCTAGTACATAGGCCTAGTCAGTATTTATTCTTTCCTTTCCAAAAATATGTTATTTGCTATTTTACATTCATTATTCCACTCAGGCAAATTTAATTTTAGCTGCTTTTAATTCATTTGGTAATGTTGATTTCCCTTGTATGATATCCGAAAAGAAAATTAGAGAACTACATGTCGCATCAAATGAGAATAAGAAATACAACTTTATTTAAGGAATGACTGTAATATTTTTTCTGTCTATAAAGAAATAACATCAAAAATGTGGTGCACACTGAATAACCCGCGTAGCGGGTAATTTTAAAGTGTGCACCACATTTTTTATGTTATATTGAATAGACAGAAAAAATATTACAGTCATTTCTTATAATTTAATTCTTAATTCCATTTTAAAACGGTGTAAATCATGAAAAAACGTTGATGACGTTAAGGTCACATGACAAAATTATGTCTATGAGCTGATAAACAAAACAACGTCAGCCAATCGGAAGACTCGTTACATCCAAAATTAAATTATTTGACAATCAACAACAGAAGGAATAACATAACCACAAACAATGAGGGCAACGATATGTATCTAGTTTTTCATGATATAAATGTAAGAAGAGGGGATATACACAAGGCAGTGGAACCAGACGCTTTGTCCGACTTAATCTAGACAAACGAACCAGAGTTACATAGAAGGTTCTACTAGCACTTAAGGTTCCTGGAGTTTGTGGTTACTCTGACAAATTTGCATGAAAATATGTTCCAGCCGATACAAACTTTAGATAAAACTGAACGCTTCTGATGTCAGATCGAGCGACACGGTTAGCCTTCAGCAGATGCGTTCAAGTACAAAAGTCAGGAATGAAAACATTAAACAACATTATTTACAAAAACGAATAGACTTAAGCAAACCTGTCTAAGATCAGCTCTACCGGATGAAGTTGCAACCTCAATAATTTTTAGAAACTTATGTTGAGTGTATAATTTAATCCATGCCAATACCAAACTACTGGCTGGTTGTTGGATGGTATCTGCGGGAACTGACAGTCACTCAGTAACGATATCAACACTCTCTGATGCAGTTCTTATACTAGTTCTGTACACTCGAAAACCTCCAATGAATATAACCTCTGTGATACGACGTTTGTAGTGTTACGAAGTATTGATCAAAACAGATAAGAATTCGTCACCTGAGATTGCAATACCAACCTAATGGTATAATCCTTATGAGGTAGCAATACACAGTTGGGCGTGTGAATTTGCATTTTGGCCCTGTGAAATGTACCAATAGGAAAAATATTGTGATGTAAAATTCAGTTTTTGAAAGTTAAAAGAAAAATAAAGCCTCCAAAATGAGTAAAATGAACATAAATATTTTTCAAATAAGTTTCATAAGCAATTTTCTGTTTCACAAACCGTACCAGACAGCAAATTAAAAAAATATTAAAGAATGCATCGATCTTTTGAAGCAAGAAAAGTCAGCAAATTTCGACCAAAGATATTCTAGCAATGATCAAATCTTTTCAAGAGGGAAATAACTTCAGATTAATTGACAGAGATATTTTGCAAACAATGAGGGTGTGACTTTAGGATGAAACCTAGGTACATACTTTGCTTGCACTTATATGCGACAATGTGATAAATAGTTTGATTACTACGAAGTGAAACCATTATGCATTTTGCAAACTCAATTAATCGATGTCTACAGCAAACAGGTCACCTAAAAATTGTAAAAAGGGCAATTCCGTATGGTTTAGCACAGTTTTGATTTAGAAGAAAAACCAACATTGTTAGAAAATACAAATAGTGACACCATTACATACACAATTCCATTTTAACATTCTTGTCATGATTAGAAAATGCACAAAATAACACCATTACAAACTCAATCTTATATTCTTGAACGTGTCTACAACAAACAAACAAAAATCTATTTTATTTTTAGAAATTTACCTGTGATAATATAAACGTCACAAAAATACGTCACTTTTTGTTGCGTTGATGCATTCGTGTTACGCACAGTTTATAATATGTTTGTGATGTCCTGGTGTGCCGTGAATTCATGGGGTGTCCGTTGTTATTCTGTGGTTTACATGTTGTAATGTACTATTATATTATTTATTTATGTGTTTCTCTGTCCTAAGTGTTCTTGTGTTTATTTGTACAGTATTCCTGACACGTAATGTTGTCATTTTAGCGATATTTTTAACATTGCCATATAAGCGGGAGGTTTGGCCAGCAATAAAACCAGGTTCAACCCACCATTTATTTCTTAAAATGTCCTGTACTAAGTCAGGAATATGGCAGTTTTTTTCAAATAGTTCGTTTCAGTGTATGTTGGCGTTTGTTTTTGTTGCTGTTCAGTGT